AGATTGATCTTTAAAATGGAGAAAAAAATAATGTATAAAGCTGTCAGAGATACAATGAACCAAAGACACTACAATAGCAATAACTTAAAGTACTGACTTTAAGGAAACATAGAAAACATTCTATGAGTGACTTATAGAAAGACATGTTTTTTTCCGCTCTTTTAGTTACTGATTTTTTTTTTCAACTTGGGCCAAAATCAATTAAAAATATTGTTTAGATTTATATCTAGTGCCATTTAATTTGGCAATAACTGTACTGCCAAAAAGTTTACCTTAATCTTTTCTTAACCAGTTTTCACTGATATGTTAGCACTTGCTACTCTTCCCTTGTCAAACCAGCAGCCAGGCTGCTTGACCAGTTGCTAAGAGACTGGCCAGCATTATGGTATGACCTCTTAGAATCAAAACGCAGCTGACATTGCGGCCCAGGCACCAAAAATTATTCGAGATCCACAGGTCCAGCTAGTTGCCACTGTTTGCCTGCATATTTTCTCATCCTTGATGGCAGCTATGCACCTGTATTATTCCATGGCTGTGCTCACAGTTGGAGAGGCAGATAAAAAACTACTACTGTATAGCAAGCAGAGACTCACTTTGAAGTCCTTTCATCAGCAGTGACCAGTGAGGAACATTTGCTCTCATGATATGCAATGCAATTGTGACTGCACAGCCACGGACTTCTCCATTTGGTCTAGAGCTGTCTCTGCTCACACTGAGTGTGCCAGTGTGCATTGGTTGAAGTTGATGCTCAGCTTGTGTTTGGGTGGCAGCCTGTTTCAGTATACTTGAAAATGCAGCCTTTGCCATATTAGTCTCAGATCTAGACAATTGTGCAAGTGAACTGTGTATACTTAGGCAGTGGTTAGAGAAGATTCGTATGCTGTATGAAGTTGCCATATCTAGCTAAAAAGACCAAATGACTGTGAATTTTAAAGTCATTGCTGGTGTCAGAGTGAATTTTGCTGTTTTATACAGCTGTGACATGAAATATTACAGTAAATGAGAAATAAAGAATATTTCTTCATAGATAAGTTGCCTCTTAAATCATAGTTCATCAGAGACCTGAAATATTAGAAAAAGCCCTTGCAGAATCATGTAACCTAGAATGGCAAAAGAGCACTTTGACACACTACTCTTGTCTGTATGCATAGCTAATCTGTGTGATTGTAGTATGATGTAACCACTATACGAGTTTAATCAATTTTAGCACAAATAACAGTGAAGAAGCAGTGACACTGGCTGTAAGATATATTTGTCTACAGCAGCAGCCAGAGACAAATGCTTGAAGTGATCTGCATAAACAAGTTTTACCGACAATCTGGATGTTAGCGTGCTGAAACCTACATGGTTGCAACTGCACTCTGCTATCCGTGTCAGCTAGCACAGAAACGTAATCATGTGATTCTTGATTTTGTGTTTATATATACTTCATGGAGCAGGATAATTTATCTCACCCAACTTTCTCTGTCTAAAGTGTGGCTATTTACTTGAAGGCATTCCTTTAAGCTCTTACATCCATTCCAGTTTTCATAGATTTCTACTGCAAGACAGTATGAATGAGCTGCTTGTCTTTTCTTTGGGTATAGAGGAAGGCTAAAAACTGGTTTTGATTAGATGCCTAAGTAAAGTTAGGAGAAATTAGTAGCATTTTGTAGGCTAAATCTGTTATTTGCTCATATAGATGTCTTTTTTTTTTTTTTTTTTTTTTTTTTACACAACCTTAAGATACCACATGGCAAGCATACAACTAAACTTCAAGCCATTCCACTTCAAGGAATTATTCCCATTAAAACAAATCCAGCACTTAAATCTAAAAGACCTTAGAAAATGCAGCATCTTTCTTTATTATCCTTTGGACATCAGAATACTCAGCAGAAGTATGAATTGCCACCTTCATGCTGCATTTGGGGAAACTGAGCAAAACAGAGCTTCACAGAACATTCACCAAAATGGTCTCCGATTTAGACAGACTGATCGGGTTTCTAGTCAAAAACCTGTTCAGATCCAATTGAAACGGTTGCTTTTCACTAATTATGAAAAATAAGGACAGGGTCTTAGAAAACACAAAGGTTGCTTTTGAATGAAAATGAATTACCCAAGGTCACTTACGAAGTCAGTAACTGACTTGAGAACAGAAATTTGATACCATCTTCCTTCTTCACTTGGGCATATAAGACTAAATGAACAAGCTTTTAGAAAATATAGTAGGAGACATAAATTTCATTGATAAGAAACTTGCAAAGTATTTTTACAAATATGAATAAATAAGCATACATGTAACTAAGTACTAATACATATAAGGTTTATATGCCCTTCATATAAACTTTAATGTATATTTCCCACAGGATTCTCAGAATCGCTTTTAAAACATTGCAAAAGACGTAGAATAAAAGCTACAATGGAAGTGATTCATGTTATAGTTTTACTGTAAATTGATGTGTGCATCTCAGGAGTGATTCCTCTGCTTTCACTGGTCCCTAGTATGTGCTCAGCAGCTGGCACACACTCAGCAAGACTGAAATTTGGGAGTAACAAGAAGCTACGATCTCTGTAAGTGTTAGAAAAAGGATTCTAGCTTTTTTTATGAGATGACTACAACTGAAAAAATCCCCAACACCCAATAACTTACTTGAAGGCATAAAGCATTTCTTAGACAAACTGGAATTTGCATTTTTACCTATAACAAAGATTTAATGAGATGGATTGCTGTTGACTAAGCCATCGTATTTGCAAAGCAATGTTGTAATATGGGAATTTACTGTTAGCTGATTGTATTTATTGAATCACAATGTCGAATTTGCGACCCTTGATGACCCAAAGTTGCAGCCATTGCCTATTCTGTTGACAAAGACTTTGCCTTTTAAAAATTTTGCAAGATGTCTTGGAAATTTGTCCCAGTATCAAGGGTATTTCAGCAGGGGTATTATTGAATAATTTTGCCAACTGATGACTTTTAAGCATCTAAATCCAGCCATTCTGTAATTTAAAAAACCAGAATTTCCGAAAATATTATCTCCCACTGTAGCTGCCGTGTTACATGCCTCTCACCTTACCAACAGTGACTGAGATCAATGGAAAATAAAAAATATCTATGTTTCCAAGTTAGTCACGTAAACAGTTGTATTTATAAAATCTCTGTTACAGAGAAATGAAATGCAGTACTATGAGGACTGCTACAAATTATATCTAATCATCCTAGACTGAAGCTGAGGATAAAGATGTCTTCTTCATAGACATCAACAGATAAAGTTGACATGAGGTTCCTAGCCCTTCACAGACCTCTTTACATGGTAACAATGAGGAAACTACAGAATTTCAGAATGCAGTCACAAAGAGCTTTCTAGACGTTTTGCAGTATCATCCCCATAGGGAACTTTGCCAATGGGCAAAAAAAATCTATAGAATATGAGCTCAAACAACAGTTAAAAATTTCAAAGAGGAAAAATCATTAATTAATTTTAACCTATGTATGACGCTATTGTTTTCATCAATATATGGACATATAATTTCACTACCATATTTTTTGATATTGTTTGTTGACTCTTACAGTGAAGTATACTCCAGCCTGTGGATCTTGTTTCTTAAAACATTCCACAAGCTGAATGGTCTTTACACCGCTTGTCTACTCTTTCACAAACTGTTAAGCGATCCTTAAAGACTCTTTAGCCTGCTTATTTTTCTTAATTGTCACTGCATCTGTGGGGATGCCATTCCCCAAAACTAATCTAAGATGTCATGGCACTTCAGTGAGCATCCTTAGAAGAAAGACAAAAAGAGGTCTTCACTTCCCTTCACTGCCTCCGAGTAGCACTGCAGCAATCTTTATCAGGCACAGAATGCCAACAACTTTTGCACATGGACAGGAAGTAATTTAGCATTATGTCATAAGCCTGAAACTCTTCTGTGTTCTCTTTTTTGAACTGCTTACTGATGAATCAAAGGATACATTATATATTCAATGGGTGTACTTCGGCTTGAACAAAACTACACACACACACCTGTCCTACCAACAGAGTTTAAACTTTGTTTTTTTGTTTTTTTTTTCTTTTTTCCTGTACAGCAATTATTTCATTAATCATATCACGCTCCTTGGAATCACATTTTCATCAATACCTTTCTTACCATTTCTAATCTACTGGGAGCACATTTAGCTATGGCACTTGACTTGCCCAAATTAGGCATTTGTGAAAATAAGAATAAGCGTACATATAACTAGAGAGACAAAGTGCACAAACTGCTATGAAGCCAGCCTCATTTTGCATATTCCATTTGATCTCTCATCAGGCTTGAAGCCAAAATTATTCTGTCCAGGCTATATAAATATGAAGCAACCCAGAATATAATTAAGCCAGGCTAGACTGAAACCTAGTAAAAGGTCACGCTGAGCAAAATTTTGTCTAGTACAACTACTGACCTGCTACTCCAAGAACTTGTGAAAGAGAGCATAAAAACTACAAACAGTCATCCAAGGAGGTTCACCACTCTCTCTAACAACTGCTGAATATGTCTGGTAGTTCTTGAAAATTATTGATGCAGGTGTTTGTCAGAATTAATGTAACATTATTATGAGAATGAGCACAGCCTTCCTGTAGCATCAGATAACTGGCTTCAGTTAAAGTTCCAAGATTATTCTTTTGAATAGAAAAAAAAAATCCCTTCCTTTCAGCTTGAAGTCATGTTAACTGTCATGTTCAGAGGTCCTTGAATCTCAAAATGATCTGAACCACATCTTGGAACTGAAAGTGGTTCCTAGCTTTATGAACAATGCACGTTTTAGCAAGAAATTCTTCTTATCATGTTGTCAACATTTCCTGCTTTTCTTTCCTTCATGGTTGTCTTTCATAGCAACATAAACAGCACTGAGGGCAGAGGTCATTTTCTTCTCTATTCTGGCCATTCGATTAGTAGCAAAAGGTAAGCATTACATAAAGAAAGGGAAGCTGCTGACAGGCCTTGGAAAATTCTGTTTCATTGGCAAGGAATTTCTTCACTCAACCTACCTTTTCTTGATTCTGGCAGAGAAGACAGTCACATTCAAAGCAATACTGGCGCATCAGTTGCTTTTGGCGTTCACTGGTGGGCATCAGTGATTCAATATAGCTGATGGTGAGCTGTGTGCAGTACATATAAAACCAGAGTTAGTATACTTTACAAAAATTCCATCTTTGGTGTATGTATAGCTAAGGTAACATTTTTGGATACAACATTTTTCCAGCATAAAATAAAATTTTATCTTAATAGATTATTTCCTAGAAGAAGTTGACTACTTTAAAAAGGGCGAAAAAAAAGACCAAAAATAATTTCCATGGAGGAACACTTTTTCACATTTCCAGACCCATATTGTTTGAAATTACTAATCCCCAAGAAGTTATCACTATTTCAACTTTTCAGAGAAACTAGAGAGAGAAGCAGCTCAGTATCTGAATTCCCTGTGCATGAAATCTCATTCTCTGTCTAGCTCCAAAGCTTAAATGTGTATTTAGCACTGGTGTTATACAACATCCAACTATCTCAAAAAATATTGTCTCAGGGAAGCCCCTACTTTCTTGCAAATATATATTTGACCCTAAGGAAAGCTCCTCTTATGTCATACCCATCTTCAGTATGTCTGTGATGTTTCCTTTGTGACCAAGGAAGCACAAAAGCATTGCAGTCAAAGTTGTTGAAACTATTGACAAGAAAATTTATCAAAATGATAAAAGAAAATGCTTACATTTGTGCCATTTTCAACTCCTCATGCTCTACAGAGTGAATTCCAATGAACTACAGAGAATTCTGTAGTTTGTTCATTTTTATGCCTGCCAGAAGGAATTTTACAGGGCTAACCATTTGTAGAGTTCTTCAAATGTCTGAAGTGCTGCACAGGCACAGATTAATTATAAGGAAAAGAATATAACAAAATAACAGCCCAGCTCAGACCAGTATTCAGTTATACATGCTATTGAGTGATTACACTATATGCCCAACCCACTTTGAAATACTCCAGAGAGGTCAGAGCTAAAAAAATCAGGTCACATCATTTCATCTTGAGCCTAGACACTTCAACTAATTGGGAGAACTTTCACATGGTTCTCAGTTAAATCATGAGAGTCCACTCAAAGAAATTACAGGAAAACCTGACCAATTTGTAGTAATGACTATGAAATCCATTGTGAGAACCTGCATTTTGCAAATTAGTGAGCATTCTAATTAAATGAGCAATTAACAAGCAACTAAAAAAATGCCTGCATTTTTTTCATTTATTATTACAGTGTAATTTGATTACATATTGAAGGAGGACTGTATTAAAAGAAGACTACTGAGATGGCAAAGCAAAGCATTTAAAATGATCATAAGCAGAAAGCCCGTGGGGAAAAAAAAAGTATCATAATTGAAGATTAATAGTATAATTAATGAAAGAGACAAATTAAAGTTCCACAGATAGTCAAAAGTTAGAAAGTGTGAGAACTTTGTTAGGTTTTGTATTCCATATAATGTTGTTCTGTCCCAGCTTGTGCGTGTCTGAGCCGAGAGATTAGTTTCACCACTGTTGGTTTACAGCAGAACAGTCTGTACTAATCATTTACACAGGAGCTGTAGGCTTCCCTCTGAGCTTTCTGCAGTGAATGGATGGAAGTTGTTTTGCCTATTTCTTTTCCACTCTCTTCTTCCAAGGTTGGTCTCTTCTGCTCCATTCTCTCCAATCTGTCCCTCTTCTCATTCTCTCTTTTCTCTGCCCCTGGACATGAGTATCATTTTCTGGTCTTATTCTCCACACTCGGTGGAGAATCTAAACCTGATTTCCAGCCCTCAATTCTAGCTCCTTACATAGCCATTCTTGATACAATGAGCCGATTTGTCATCCTGACAGTCCCAGATCTGCCCTTCTGCCTCCCCTGCATGCCTCATCTTACACCTTTTTCCCATATTTGATCACTAGCACTCTTACTGTCCCAGGTTAACAGTCCTTGTTGCCCTACTCTAGTTTCTCAATCATCTTCAGTGGCCCCACCAACTTTGTCCTCGTTTCTTTCCCCAGCTGGTCCTACTCTGCAACCTCCCTGGCGTGGTAAGAAAGATCTGTCTCCCTTCCTTCCCACAAAGCAGTTTCCAGTCAAGTTGTAGTCCTAACCTCATCCTTCAGCCATTCCAAGCCCAATTTCCCTCTCCCATCACAGGCCTCTGATCTTCATTTCTCCTTGCAACTTGCAAGGGATTTCTGTCAAAATCATTCCACACACTGGCTTGTTCCCTGTCTCTTATCCTCTCCATAAACGTCACTGGTTCTGACCCATGTCCTACTGGGCTTTAGGTTCAGGTGGCATCCAGCAGTAAAAGGGATTTAATCAAGTTCAGGCACAGTGCAAGACAGTAGGAATCTTCTGGGAAAACAAATCATTCATGTGAGATTAGTCTAGTCTTTGCCAAAATACTTAAGACAACAGTTTAAACCTCATCATTACTATTGAACCCATCATTAGGCAGGGTTCAGTTCTGATACTGCAAAACAAACACACAGCCAACACCGAACATGCTTTATCTGTCTTCAGCCTACGGGCTTCATCCCTTTCTCTCTTTTCATTTTTGGCCTTTTTTTTTTTCATTCATGTTGCAGAAACCTTGGAAGTAGGAACAAGTTTGAAACCAGTAATTTCTTTTTCAGAGGTCACCAAACAGTTTTGGATATGAACAGTCACGTAACAACCTGCTCTGGATTAGAGCATGTGACTGGGCAGAAGGACGAGGACAAGAGGCTTCGACACATTGATACCCCCTTTTAGCATTTTAACAACTTAGGGTTTCTCTTGCTGTCAGAGGACCATGTCCAAATTCCCAGTCCTGCCAACAGAAATCTGGAAGTGAAAAAATGTTTTTAGCTGGCAGACTGAGTGGGAAAATGTAATTAGGATATTTAGAAACATGATCAACCCAACGGTGACTAAGTCTATACTAATCATTTAATCGTTTAAACATAAAAATTCTGTATTCAAGTCTCTCTCCTACACTTGTTTTAATTTTGGATCCCTTCATTAGACGCAAGGCTCATTTAACTTGTACATATTTAGGAAATATGCCCATTTATCAAAGGTTGTCTTAATGGTATTTGCATGTGGGATGTATGGTATTAATTAAAACATTATTTCAGCTGACCAAAGCTTGCCTCTTTATTGCATCGCTTATAAAGAATGCAGTAAATCTTTTCCCCCTGAACTGGAGAATATATATTAAATAACATTTATGAAGGCAGGGAATTATTTAACAGCCGTGAGACTTATTAGTTCTCAAGGCTTTCTCCGTAGAAATGCAGCACTGTCTGAGCCCTGCTTCTCACTCTGACACAGAAATTCTTTAACCATAGGTATGGTGGTTAGTTTCTCATGTTCCTCATCTGCCAAATGAGGTGGACACAATTTTCCAGTACTGCCATGCTGCACTGGACTTAATTTATGTTTTTTGTAACAGACTATAAGCTACAAAATTTCTAGACAGAGGATTCTGTAGAAATTTAAAATCAACTATTTTAATGCAAACAGCAGGGAAAAAACATGAGTCTTCTTGTTTTTGCAATCATGGGTCTCAGGGTCTTAGGGAGGGCTGTGTACAAAAATCTGTTCCTGAGACAAGAGTTACATAAGTGATGAACAGTCTGTGCTCTTTCTGTTTTGGCATATATGACCAAAATGCCTTCTAACTCAAGGCAAAATTTGGTTTTAAAAAATGTAATGTGACAAAATGCAATGTGTCAAACATACACAGATATAAAACTTCTCCTCATAGAATTATAATAACAGAAATATTACATATCTTGGTTGAAATCTATCATGAAGATAGACTTAATTGCTGGTAATCTGAAATTATGATTTGTATTTAGTATTAATTTTAAAAATTAGTTGCTCTGTAAGAATATGTTCTGTTATGTGACTTTCTGCAGAAAGATACAAATTTGCTCTAACTGAACTCTGAAGCTGATGAGAAGCCATGCACACATTTTGGAGCAGAACTGGACCTCAGCTAATATATCCTGTCTCTCAGCCGGACTAATTGATTTCATCTATGCACTGAACTAACCATAGCTATACAACTTCTGATTGGAGAATAGGCAGAATGAACTCATGTCTGCCTGCAAAACACCAGGTAGACATAGTAATTAACAAAAAGTCAGTTGAAATTATAGCACACATCTTGATGCTGTTTAAAGTGATTACTTAAGGGTAGGGAAATGATGAAGACCCTTTCAGAGCTGGCTGCTTGTCTTTTTCAGAAAGTAAATTAGTTGATAGGCTACCTTATCACTGAAGTAGCCCTGGGGAGCTCTAGGTGAATAATTGTTGCTTTCTTAAAATCCTTCCCCATATCTTACCTTTCTTTGCAATACTTAAATTTCATTGTTGCAAAGAAGAAAGTGCAAGAAAAGGAAATCTTTGTATACTGTCAAAGTAACGTCACCTAAAGTTACAAAAGCTGTGATAGTCAGCACTTTGACTAACATTATCTTGAGGAGCAAAAAGCTGTCATAATTAGTTTTGAGTTGCTGGAAGCAAGTTTCAGAAAGTCCTGTAGTCTTTTAAGTAGCAACATATAGAATAAAATCCCCACAAAAATCTATAATTTCTTTCTTCCTGCTATTAGATTCAATTATGCTCAAAAACCTGGTATAGAGTCTACAGAGTGTTAGGAGACACTTTCTAGCCACTTTGACCCCCAATCTATGCATGGAGATCAACAGTTGCTCCCAAGCCTTGTCCTCCTTTCACTTCTTTTGTCCTCTCCTCTACTCCCTATCTGTTTCATTCCCTTTATCCCAATTGCAGGACAGAAAACACTTAAATTTAGTGGTGAACATTACCAGCTGGTCAAGCACTAGAATTTGGGGTATTAATGTAGACCCATACTGCCTTATATGAATTATAACAGAGTCAGAGCAAGGATGGGGAAGGAAAAAAAAAAGCAGCAAAGCTACCAAGCTTAAAGGAAGTTTCCTATCAGAGCCAAATTTTCACTTTAAAAATTCTACATTTAATGAGGATTATACATGTCATTTAAACAGACAAGTAAGATATATAATGATAGAAATAGAAAGCTGTTATTCTGAACATCAACTAAAGCATTCATTGGCAAAAGCCAATGGGAACGTAGTGTGTTTTTGTTTAAAATGGTAACTTTCTGCCCTCAAAGAGCATGGAATTCCATAGAACCACATTAGTATAAAACCCAAATAAAACACCTAAAAATAACTCTGAACTTTTGGTTCCTGAAGCAAGATTTAAGGACCAGACACTTCTCCATCTTGCCAACTCTCAGTATTCCTGCAATACACTTTGTTTTCTTAAAGCTTCAACTTGGGTAAACCATGCAGTTATACATGAATCCCTTCTTTCAATGCCTACAAAAAAGTAACATTCATGACTCATGATTTCTTAGTGCTTCAGGACTGGCAACACTGTCTTTGCCACAAAAAAGGCCCAGATAGCTAGAATTTTGCGTATGATTTTAGGAGTGATTAGTTTTCCAAATATACAGCACCATCAAATTTAGCACTTTCATTCTATAAGGATTCAGGCAAACATTTTCTGGCTCAGGAGTCCTAATTTTCTACTGCCCAAGATACATTTTGGCCTTAGGATTTGAACAAATTTCAAAGCCCAAACCAAAATTCAATTAAGAACCACTAAGTGCCACATGCCTTCCTGTCAAAAACATGCAAAGCCAACAAAATCTGCCTAGACATGAGCCTAAAACTGTACTGAAACAAATTCCATCAGGACATAAAAACTTTCTGAGGTTCCCATAACCTTGCATGCTTTTTATCACTGACTTGATACATATAATTACCATGTATAGCATGAGCACTCTAAAGTGTGGTTGGGGCATAAATGTTATTCCTGAATAAATCTGCATCACACTGCATCAGCTACATCCAATGTAATAATACCTCTTCTGGTTTACAACCAAAATCAGGTCCACTGGTGCCTCCCTCTTTATATAATTGTGAGATGACCACAATGGCCAGTCACGTCAACCCCCTGTGTCTCTGTTTTCCCTGTGATTATAGGTGGTCAACAACTCCTTAACATGAGTAAGTTGTTGTAGTGTCCTCTGACAGAAAGCACTACAAATGTGCAAAAATATTTTTACTTCTCACTGGCCTACTGAACACATCATATTGCAGTGGTTGATACTTTCCTGGCAAGGGTCCAGAAGCCCTATCAAGTTTGCTCCTGTATGGATAGTAAAGCCATAGTCCTCTTCTACTGATCTGAGCTTGACTTGCTACTTAGCTTCTCATTTCTAATAAATCTTAGTGCTTATTTACTTTCTATTAATTATTACATAGGGGATCTCATTTTGTCTAAATATAGTGTAAGTTTGAGCAGGACAAGGCAAGTTTTCTACTGCTTATAATTATTTAAGTTTTCTTGTTGCCTCATGACTCGAAACAATGTTCATCTTACCACCTCAGAGCACTCGATTTATTCAGAAAACCCAATCAGATTCCTCCCTAACATGTATTTTCTCTCCAATTAGCTCAGATCATGACCTCAGTAATGTAAGTAAAAACTCAGCTCATAACAGGTAATGTAGTTTCATGTACATAGGTGTGTAAATTCAATACATGGCTATTAAGAAAATTGAGCTCACCCTGCTGCAGGCAAGCAGTAAGGCAGTACGGAAAGACGTTGTACCAAAGCTACCACACAGAACACAAAATGAAAAGCGAAAGCAGTTGTGTAAGAGGAAAAGTAATTGGGTGTTGAAAATAATATTAAACTGCTGACTTGTACTTACCCTCATAATAATTTTCTTTTCCTTCCTCTTCCCATAACAGATCTAAACTAATATTCACTTTGTATCTTTACATTCTCACTTATGCCCATTTTCTTCCTTAAACACATCCTTATTCAAAGAAGCATGTACCTCAGACTGAGACTTTTATTTCCAGGTAAGTCAAGAGGGCACCTGTTTTAACAGAGTGTATATATATGTATATATATATAAAATCTTACATGTTCCTTAAGGCAGGTTTTCCTTTCAGTACCAAAACCAGAAGCAATAGTCACAACAAAGACACCAGAACCTGAGCTCTTTGGAAAATTCTGACTTTATTTTACTGCCTCATTGGAGGCAAAGCTTTTTAGAAAATATAATATGCCCACATAAGGTGCAGTCATTTTAAAGCCTGTATTCACACAACTGCCAAAGTCACTGCAAACAAACTGGTCCTAGCTGCCCTGCTTTATAACTTATATTTATTTCCTGATTGCCTTACAAATGACTTGTAACTTACACCATATCTGTTTCACCACTGATTTTAACCTAGAGACTTCTGTGGGTTACAGACCACTAACACTAAGTCTAAAATTTGGGCCATAGCTTCACAGCTGTAGCACAGTCTGCACTGTGGTCGTACCTGCAAGGGAATTCTACTTCACTTCTCACTCCAGAACCACCCAGGATCACCTGGGGGCCTCTCCCACTCTGTAAAAGATGCTTGTTACAAAGAATTGCTTTATGAAATTTACCTAGAAAAATATATCCACGTACAGAAAAATAAGATAGCTTCAGAATTTAGAACTCTAATAATTAACCCAAATGCATCCTGGGAAAACATTAAAATCTACTGTATTTTTAAATAAACAACCCATCTTGGTGAATTGGGAAGCCAAGAGGAAAGTTATGGTATACAGATAAAATGCAAGAAAAGTGTCTATAATTTGGCTTGAACAAGAATGCCAGACCAAAAGATGTCTACACTTAATAGCTCTGCAAAAGTATATTGTATCCTAAAAGATTTCTCTTGGCAAAAAGGTAAGTATGCAAAAGCATTTCTATTGGTTCTCCACAATATTTTGCCTAAAAAAATATTTTACCATTTATTAATTTTGATGGCCTACTATCTTAGAGAAAGGCTACATTAAAAGAGAAAACACTTCATAGGGAAGAAAAGACATACTACTTCTAAATTAGAATACATATGCCCTTGATCTTCCCAGAGTTTGAAGCACAGGCGTGAACCGTATTTATACTAGGTCATGATTTTGAAATGACCAACAGCTAGGACCGCATAGGTCATTGGTGCATGTAAAGTTACATATATACACACGTATTTGCAGGCCTTACTAAGCAAATTCAGTATTGCATTGCTGCAAAAGACATTTACTTTGAAATGCTTATCTAGCCACGAATGATTATTTTCAAAGTAAACCAAAGTTGAGAATACCTTAGATCAAATCAGAAATCTCTGGAAAGGGATATTTTGAAGTCTTTTCTAGTGAAATGGCCAAGAAAACAAACCTTGTCTTGCCACTTTCACTGTCAATGAAAGGTTTACTGCAACAGTATGGTTGCAGTCTGACAAATGCTTATCGTTGCAATGACTTAGCGAACACTGCATTCCACCCAGAAATATTGTAAGTGTTTCCATCAGGGTAAAGATGTTCAAATACAAACAAAATGAAGTGCCTAGAGGAGGAAAGGAGGAACAAGAATTTGTCAAGACTGCTAGTGATTTATGAGAAGTAATGATTATGGGGCCCAGGCAGTGAGAAGAGATGATTCTATTTATCATTTTCCTCCTGATAGCTATGTGCTAGAAAGTGGCATCAATATATCATCAAAATATTAAGCTGGTGGCCCTGCAGTCTGGAATTTATTTAGGGAGTTGTCATTGTTGCAGGTGTCTGGGATGGAAAGGAGGACAAGTTAATTACCTCTTCACCAATCTGGATCTCTCGGACAGAGCGAAGTAAAAGCTGGTATCCTTCAAAAACGATCACGCAGTTTGGGTCACAGCTGTGGTTCAGTAAAGACATGCTGTGAGGGGTGGTAGAGGGGGAAAAAGAAAGAAAGAACTTTACAGAGGAGCCTCCACTGTCATTCCCCTTTAATCATTTAAAAGTAGCTAACATGATTATATCTGAAGTATCAAGCAATTAAGTTACAAAACAAATAAAATGCCTGGTAAATCAGCTGCTCTTGGTTAGGGGAGGAAAATTAATGCTTAGAAGATTTATTATATTCATTGCTAATAGGAGCCATGCCTGGATCTCTTCACGTGTTTCTGCCTTCTGTGTACTCAGGGCAGGAGGGAGGCTATGGCCTCCCAGTGACTCTCCGAGAGGCCTGACGCAGGGGAGAGGGCAAAGCAGGCAAGCGGGGAACAAGGCAACCTGGACAGTTCAGAGCAAAAGGTTAGTACCTTGGGACTGTGTTTTATTTCTGCTGCTTCTGCTCAGTTTCAGGGCACTAACCTTATCAGTTACCCTGACCGTCAGTGGAACCGCAGCTTGAAGGGGCCAGCAGTCAACCTGTATTTCATATCAGGTAGAAAATGGAGTATACTATGTCCCAAAACCAAAGTACTTTGTGTATAGAGTTGGAAGAAGAGATACAGCCATTGCCTCTGCTTTATGCATATTTTGGTTCAGCCTCTGTTCTTGTGGCATGTGACAGCTGAAGCAGCACAGCTCATTGGGGAGCTGCTGCGACCCCCAAGAGACACACACACTGGTGGATCTTCTGACACAGATATGCCCTTCCCTCTTTTTTGAAGGAGACTGTTAAGAACAGCATCAACAACATCCACTATATACTTCTGAGTCCCATGTGTCATTAGCTGAGAAACAACTGACTCTGCCAGGCCAACATCAGTCCCATAGCAGATGTGGGGCTGATGGTTCTTCCTCTATAGGAATGACCCATTGAAAGAACAATTCTGGCATGATTCAGCAACTCAAAATCCCAACTGTTGTTGGCAAAATAGAGGATGTTGCCGAGGGTCAGAGCCCTGCACCAAACCATGTTTATTCACTTCTTGACTCTTAAAGGAGCTATCGACAGGAGCCTGACTCTTTTTATATCCCTTCTGGCCTAATAAAATATCTGTGGTTATTTTATTTATCATGTGGATTCTCCCCATGAACCCAGTAATGTACACTGGGAGACAGTATACATTTCACTTATTGTGAGATCACTGGGCATACTCCCAAAGCTGCTGGCAAAGTGATGCAGAGAAGGACCACAGGATTTTATCTATTTTAAAATATATTTGGATGCTGAAGCTATCAAGCCATGCAACAATATACAACCTCTTAGTGAGACAAAACAAAGCACTTTTAATCAAATTTCATCTCATGGAAACACTAGTGGGTTTGATGACAATTTCATCTGGAAGCATATGAATTCATCTGGAAGGGCATTTGCCTAGGATTTGGGGACCACAGGTTTAAGTTCACAATTTTCCCAGCTCAGAGTGATTTGCTTCAACAAAACTCAAACTGCTCTGAACTGAC